TTTTTGTTCTTACAGAAGAACAAATGGGCACGGCGATTTAATTATCAATCTTTTGAAATCATTAAGTACTTACCCGAATTAGAAATCGTGTAAACGTGAAGAAAAGGATCCGTGAAATAGTGTACGTTGTGAGTTTCTATTAGAACAGGGTTGAGTTTGAAGAGTCCCTTTTCGACGTCCATTCCGCAATACCATCCGTAACACCGAATGTGCATCTAATATGCCAATCTTCTCAGTTTTACCCTTCGCTTTCTGCGATTCTTTTACTGGAAATTATGCTAAGCGAACCTGCATCACGTCTTTTTACCTGGTTGGGGAGCAGTTACGCTGCGCTGCCGAAGCATTCCACTCGAAGCATACTTCTCAACTCAGGCGACGTATCAGTTACTCAACCTCGGAAATTACTGCCAACTTGCCGTCACCAACCCATTTCACCCTTTTCCATAAATGGTGTACAAGCACTTAAGGAACTATTTATACTATCTATACTTTACAATACAAAGTGAAGAAAGTTTCCAAAGTGAAAAAGTACCGGCTTCAGTGAGTAAAGCGATAGAGAAATACAAATTCTTCAGTGAGTAAAGCGATAGAGAAATACAAATCAAGATAGAAGAGGATCAGAAAATATAGAAAATATAATGCTAATAATCCAGATCTCGGTATGAACGATAACCCCGTTGTATAAAGCAATCCTTCTCCGGATTTTCGAGACAAGTATCACCGTGTTCCTGACATCTGAGGATGAGCGGCATGAAGAAGCCGTAGACAACTTTCTTGCCTACAGCGCAAAAAATAATCGCTTGTATTTGCTGAAGAAAAATCTAATTGAAAAAATCTAATTTTGCTGTTGCGAATATATAATTTATTCCGAATTTACTTGTTTAAATTTCCGCCCCTTAAATCGTCCCTGAGTAATGCTTGGTAGTAATGTGGTGAACAGAATCTTCCCATAAATTTGTTAGGATAAAGAAAATGAGACATTAAAAAAGTAGGAATAAGTGGGAAGAGAATAGTTAAGCACGTAAGAAAAGAAGTTAATAAAATGAACAAATAAAACATCGAAAACTGTGAGTTCAAAACACTGTTAATAGGCTTGTAGGCAGTGCAGATACGGCATCGTCTAGGGTTGACAGTGCAACCAATGTCATCAACGAAGCCAGTGCGGATGTGATATGCCAGAGATCATGGTAATCGTAAAATGACAGAACGACACATGAGCGATTAAGAGCCCGACTTTGAGCTGGTGTTAGCTGAACAGAAATTAGTTTCTTACCCTCCTCCAAGTTTTATAACTTTAGAAATTCTCTTGCTCTGATATTTAGAATTTTAGCCGGTCACTGAAAATTTCAACTCTCCCATCTTTAACTTCTGCTCTAATAGTTTTCGCTAGTTCCATTCATAAGGGGAAAACGAAAACCAAGTACATGAAAGTTTTGAAAACATACTGCCCAGTCTGTCTCGTCGGCGAATAAAAAATAGAGAGCAGTCATCCAGAAAACAGCGGCACTTGCAGAGCATACTCGAGAAAATCTACACGACTGTTCTCCCAGCTGCCACTATAAAACATCACGATTGCCTCTAGCTATATGACACTTAGCCATTCGCTTCAGATCAATGAAATAATTGGGTAAAAGTGATATATAATTTCAAAGTAGAATGATGACATGTCCGTTTTTTTAGAGACCACAGATGCGCAAATTCTCCGCTATTGTGACCCGCTGATGGCAAAAATGCCTTCCAGCAGAAATATCTTCGCGCACCATGGGTGAATTATTTGAAAAGAGCACCGAATCTTGAAACCTCGGAAAAACCGCTGTGATTGCTCTGGATCTCTACAGATACAGCTACAGCTTTCTCGCTTGATATAATTAATTTACAGCAATCGTCTACCCCGTTCCGTTGTCGTCGGATACGGCACCACTCACATTCTCAAAAGTTCAGTCGATTCCACTAAATAGACTAAATAGAGCTGGTGATTCAGTTTGGCCGCTTGTCGCGCTTTCCATCAACTCACAGTGGCCATCCACTACACTCTTTTCACTGAGAAAAACTTGAGTTTGATTACAGTTTAAAGTCATAGTTCATGATAATCAACCACTGCCCCAGGGGCGGACGCATCGGCGGGTGGAGCCCCTGGACCACGGCAGAATGTGGGTATCGTAAGTACCACACTCCTGTGAGGGAAATGTCGCACTGGAATGCTATGGGACACAGATGTACTGGATCCTGCCACAGTTGCGATACGACATACGAGTCAATAGTTACGACATGTATGCGATCGAGAGACGAGATGAGAAGTGCGATGAGACAAAAGGAAAGAGATCGGATTGGTCGGTAAAACAGGGGTTGGGATGACGCTTAAGATGGAGATGGCATCCAATCCACCGTACTTCTCAGGCATTGACGACAACGTGTGTTCGTGCTGACGACCAAGCTCCAGAGACNTCCAGCAATCTTCTTCATTTGAATCTTAAAGAGCGGCAGCTGTCAATTACCGTCGACTAGAGCACGGTTTCCCGCCGGTGCGCTGCAGCATGTCGAATTGCCCAACGTGAGCTGCGACATAATGGAAGCGATAGTCCATATAGTACAAAAGTACTCACAGATACGGATAGTACTGGCGCAAAAGATGGCAAAAAGAGCGCAAAAGGTGGCAAAAAGGGAAAGTTAAGGACAAAACTGCTCACCTTCATGAAAATGTAGTAAAGAAAATATAAGGAAGTGTTGGTCAGACAAATTATTGTTACGATTTGGTTAGGTTGAATTCGGTTAGCAGGCAAAATAATAGTAGCCACCATCAGAATATTCAGGGTTACGACTCCCAATGAGAGAATTATTGACCATCTCTTGCTCACACTGCTATTACATGTTTTTGAAAACTCTATAAAACTCTTCAATATTTCAAAGTAGTTCCAGAACCTAAACAATCTTAGGAAGTTAACTACCTCTGGAGGAATTTGATTTAAAAACTTCATGAACACCAACCAATATCAGAACGAAGGAGCATATGATAACCAATAAACGTGTTAGAGATCTCTGGGCAAAGATCTGAAAAAAGTGTTCGTCGCAAACTCATCAGAAAGTATTTCGGGATACTCGGAAAAAACAGCAAATAAAAATCAATATGAAGAAAAGTAATAAACGAAGAAGTATACAAAGTTGTTGTGCTCAAAATATATCGCCTGTATCACCATTCGTCAAATTGATCATTAATCTCTTCCGTGGGCGCCAGGACGTCTCTATTCGTTGCTGTCGGAGGTTCAGTGGATCGCCCTCAATCGAAGGACGCGAAGCATAACATTCTTTTCATTAAGCACCCTGTTTAAATTCTCACCATCGTCCTGGCGGCCTCCTGGTGTTGGTTTAACGTTCTGAGCTATCCGGTCATTGACCGCACTAGTCTAACGGTGTTCTCGATATCGCATGTGTTCGACCCATTTGATTTTTGATTTTTTGGGTTAGTATCCCTGATCTTCTTTCTTAAATGAAACTCGAAACACCGCATTTTCTCCTGCAGTTGAGTGTAGCAAAACTCTCACAACGTCCTGAACACAATTATCGACGCTGACAGCACGTTCATCCAGCTTCCGTAGAGTCCAAGTCTACAAGACCTACGTCAAAATAGGAAGGACATCAGATCGAAAAGTTGGGCGTGGAACCAAATCCTGACCACTCCCTTAGATTATTATACGCTCCCTACGCCGCGCCTTTCCTGTTGCTCAGCTGCACTGTTCGGTGTTGTAAGCACGTCGTTGCAAAGCGGTGGTGATGTAAGTAGTGGCCCTCGACCTTCGCTCCCATGTCTCCGAATGATGCATGGTGTTCGCGATAGTGGCGTTGAAATATTTGGGAGAAACGGTATCGCCCTGCAAAACCCCTTTCTTGACAAAAAAATGATTTCCTTAGAGAATAGCGAACCCTATACGAAATCCTGTATGCTCGCATGCTCGGCTGTCCTTCACCTTGTATTCTACCAACCCTGCTAAGGGTGATTCGTGTGAAAAATTTTAGATTACATACAGCAGGCAGATTGAACAATAGTTGCCACTATCGTCGAGATCTCCTTTCTTATCCAGCACCCCAGCGTTACTAGTTCTCACGACGTGGGCAATTTACATTCCAACAGGTACCGCGAGAAGAGACTAGCCAGAGTTCTGGAGATAACTGGTGGAAGGCTCTTCAGATGTTCTGATTTGATCATATTGGAAGCTGGGTACAGTTCCTCATCGACGTGGTAGAATATTGTACTCCGTAATAAGAGGTGATGGAATATTGTGCTCCGTAATAAGAGCTTTTCCCTCTACGCTCTCAAGAAATATTGCGCGTTGGGGACGATAGTCCGATATCGTGTAAATGTTAAGAACACACCGAGGTCAGTCAGACAAAAGTTTTGATTGAAGATAATGTAATCTATTTTATTATGGACCAGGTGGCTCCCAAGTTCATTGCAAATGAGAGGGCTTCCGGAAGTGCGAAATACCATGAATGGTGAGGGCCGACATGAAAAACTTATTGTCAGAGGGTATTCGATCCAGCTCATTACATAAAGTCTATGATTCCTGATATGTAGCTTTACAGCTATTCTTCTAGCGTCAATTTCGGTGTTGAAATCACCGACGATAACCCTAAAGGAGTAGTACTCTCTAAAGAGAACTTTCAGGCCCATATAGGCTTTTAAAAAAGTTCCAGCTCCTTTTTTCCGTAGCTTGGTGTTGGAGCGTAGGCAACGGCAATGGCGCTGCGGTTGGGCCACATTTTTCCAATTGCAAACGTCCCATTCGGGTTGGCAAGTTCCTCTGCCAACCGCTGTTCACGGCCAAGTGGGTATCGACGGGCACACCTCCAAGAAGCAGCTCTTCTCCATTCTCTAAAACTGCGTGCAGCGGGCGACCTTCCCGTCTCGGTCACTCCGATGGCCTCGTATTTGAACTTCTCTGGCTTGTCACCGGACCTTCGATACATACTACTGATGCAAGTCATTCATTCAGTCACTCATTATTCACAGTCACTCACCTGCAAGCTCCTAGTTGAGCAGATGTGCAGAATGCCAGCCGCAATCTCTTCACACACATGTATGTGGATACGACAACGAGGATACAGATGGAATATCAACCAAGCACAGCAGAAACAGAGTGCTTTCGTTGAATCCACCTGCGCCTCTGGGCAAGTAACATTGACTTTTGGTACGCTATTTACTCCCTTACCCTGGGGTCGCCCGACGTAACCCCACTAGCAAGCTGGAGATTCTTCAGCGAGAGGAACCTCCAGTGAAAGAGATCCAGGGCTTAAACGGAACTGAAAGAGAAAAAGATTTCTAATCTCTCACCGTGATGACGCTGTCCGCAAATATCATAAATACTGCAGCCATATTAGCTATTGGAGCGCTGATTGTTTTACGTCGATTCCCATATAATTTCAAAGTAATCAGCACGCAAAGTATCTCTATGAAAGGTGTGTCTGAAAAACTCTTATCCATTTTCCAGCAGCATTTAGAAAACACCACCTTTATGACCATTCGGTCTTAATTATTGCTTTCGAGAAATAAGTTTTTGGCGGACTCGAAGTGAGCAGAGCAGAAAATCGCAATGGATCAAACAATCTACGCATTTTCTTATTATTGATTTGCTGGAAATATTCGCAATGTGTGGATGACAAGGTCACAGCTAGCCTTGAGCATACCCATAAACGGGGAAGCAGGTGCGATAGAAAGCGAAAGGTTTGGGTTACTGCAGCCACATGTATTATGTTGCACTTCTTCAAGTCACCCAAATATTCATGGACTGCTGTCCCTATTTCGAAAAATAAATCCTTGAACAATTCGATGCATCTCAAAAATTTCTTGGCCGATGAATGAAAGAAATGTAGAACTGTCCAGGCTTACAATTTACAAACCTTCATCCCTTCAAGCTTGGTCAACAGGCAACACTGCTGACCGAGCTCGAAGGGATGAAGTAGTTGGCACAGGCAGACTTATTTGATATGATGAAAGCTCTGACGTGTATGGCAACTGACTCCTGCAAGTCATAAGCCACGGTGTAGGCTGAATATATAAAGACAACTACGTCTCAGAAGAAAAACGAAAAACCTGCCTAGATTATATGTGGTGGAATTAGGGCAAATGTGATAGACTGTACTTGCAAATGCCTCACACAACAACGAAAGACCCATACATATTTCCAGTCCATGATTGTTATACGTTCCATTACCAGGCTACAACGGCAAAAAACAGTTGATATACAAGCAGGCATACGCATAATCCTGAATAAAATGAGATTAAATTTATAAGCTCACCGTCAATTTTCCTTTCCTCANATGCACAAACGCAAGAAATACGACGGAGCACAGCATGTACCCAACATTACTGAACATGTGGTTGAACGACATGAAAATCCAGAAAGGTTCTGAGCATGCGTAATTGTGGTAGCAGTTGCTATTACTCCAAGACGGGCTGTACGCGGGCTAAAAAGAAGTCGTCAACAAAACGTAATTAATTAGTTGGTTCGGAATATTCAAAAGGTCAAACATGGAATAGAACACCCCCACACTACTCTGCATTGCTATCGTAAACCCCACTTTGATAACATTTTAATCGGCTCGTTGGCTCACGCCGGACTACAATACCTTCCCACAAAAAAAAACAGAATGCTCGGCCAGTCCATGCGCCTAATAATTGATACACTAGAGCCCATGATAATGTATTTCTTTGTTTTCGATAGCCGTCAAAACTTGTCATTAAAATTTCAGTTGTTTCCCAATCTATGGGAACTCTCGCGCTGCAACACTTCCAAAACATTATATATGCGCGGTATGAGTTCCCAAACATATGCGTCTACGGAGGATACGCGAGGGAACGTCCCTTCTTATCGTCGATGAAACTAGGTCACGCCGCACAAGTCGAGCGCGGTGAGGCCAATTGCAATTTCGAAATGGTCACCCAGATTCAAACTAAGAATTTTCACGCATCAATATGGGAAGACTGAAGGTAGGTGGTAGGACTAGACTCCACCCTCCCTCGGGTGGGGTCTAGTCCTACCACCTACCTTCAGTCTTCCCATATTGATGCCTATACACCCAGCAAATTTGAATGCCTCAGATCCAAACTGCCAGCTTTCGCGCACGCCCCACCCACTTCGGGCGGAGTCTAGTCCTGCCACCTACTATAAGTGTTCCCACAATGTCTCTTGTACTCCTACAAAAGTTGGATGCTCTATTTCCACGGGAACGGGAGCTACGAATTTCCGCTCAATCATTTGCTTCGCACAAACTCCGCCCTCTGTATGCGGAGTCTAGTCTTGCCATCTGCCATAAAAGACCCCTAACCCCCCCCCCCCCCCCCCCCCCCCC